CGGCTGACAAATATCTCGAATATGAGAAAAATCATATTCTCTATATTTATTACTCTTTCAACGCGCAAATGTGCAACTGATTTTATTTTAAAGACATATCAAGGATAAAGTTTATAAAACACTTTATATGACTATTTCAGTAATCAACCCGGGAAAAAATGTTATAGGGCAGACCGGGGAATAAAGTGCCATTTTCAACATTTTTTGTACTAAAACAAAGAATATCTAACTCACACAGATCATCCTGTTATTTATCAAAACTAGAGATCTTTGACTACAGAAGGCATGCAAAAAGTATGCGCATATACCCTTCATTAAAAAGATATAAATTTTGCAGAGGAAGTCATTCGGCACTTCTTACCCCATATGCGGGGCAAGAAGTTCTATAATGGATAAAAAGTGTCAATACTTCTATGTCAAGTTTAAACTATTCTAAGAAATCAAAATAGGTATTTACTAGAGAGTTTTTTTATTATAAAGTACCTACATTAAGTGGGTTTTGGTTAAGTAATAACGTTAAGTAATAATAAAAATGGAATAAAAGATAATAAAATTAAAATATCAATCTTATAACATAAATAGTAAAATATAGGATTATTTTTAGTAACAATACAATTAAAAGTCTCTCGAAAATTATTCAGAATGTGGCCTTCACCTCTGATTTCGGTGAAATTAGGCTCATTCGACGCGTTTTTGCGTCGCACACTTCATCGCTTTGACAGATTTCCTTTCCTAAATAGATCAACTTTATTGCTTAATATCTCAGTTCGTAGGGCCGACCCAACGTTATTTTCTTACAGATTCTTTTGTTTTGTACAAAAACGTGTCCGAGGTAAAGATCGCATTCTGAATAATTATCAATCTTTCTGTGTAAAAAACATCACTAATGCTGATTCTACAATGAGTCGATAGTCGGAAGACTTAGTCTTAATCGGTGAAGTTAACCAATCAGCATTAGTCGTACAAATTGACTATTGGTCAATTTTATTGATAAGATTTTTAGGATTACCAACTCATTGTAGAAGGCAAATCAGCATTAAAGATAACAAGAACACCCCCTTGACACTTTTTACCCCAACAATACAAGTAAACTTTGCGGCAATGTTATTGAAAAAGTATAATAAAAATTACCGTTTTAATAACCGTACTATTAAAACGATAGAATAAGATTAAGAAACAATATCTTTATTTTAGACCGTATATGTGAGAAACATAATCAATACTAGAAATTTATTATAAAATGCCTATTACGGTCGAAGCTGGATCTTCGTTGCTTAAATAATTCAATCTTGAATTAATAATATATACTATAATATATAGGGTAAAAGCAGGGATTATGGAATAGCTTTTTTAAAATTAACATTACTCCGATATAAATGCATATGAAGACTTCAAATTTACACAGAACTCTTGAAGAATATGTTAGCTACAACATCCAATAAATGAAAGTCACCAAAATTTAAATCCAACGTCAATATTAACAAAAAAGTCAAAAGTGAGAAAATGGGGGGGTCTAAAAAATGGGATGTAATATGGAATACCGATGTAATTTTGACCATAGTAATAAATAACACAATAAATGAAGTCCAAATTTGTTTATTTATATAAATCGATCAAGAAAAATAGAAAACTGTTCAATTTTTATTATATAATACTACAGAAAATATAATAGCATCATTACGAACGTTATTACGCATGAATAAATAAAAAATCGCAAATAAGCTGATAAATCGCAAAAAAAAACTGATATAGAATACATGCTGTAATCTAACCTAACCTAATCTGATCACGAATAAGTTGCTAACATGCATGAAATCTATTCCATATTCTCAACCCTCGATGTATTCCACATTACCTGCATGTCGTCATATGACAAATTGTCTTTCCGTAGCAATAAACAAGTTTGAAATACCAATTAATCTGCATAATATTGTTCATGCAACATTATTAAAAGCGTCTGTGCAATATAAGCATTAAAAAAACTTACCTTCAGTTTGTGAGAACACTTTTTAGAAAAAGCTGCCGAATCTTCTGACGTGATGAAAATGAATAAATGTTAATTGTAGCAAAACAGTTGGTCGGTCTGAGTTCATTACTTGTTATGACATGTTTGGTAACAGTTGCAATAACTTTCAGCGATTGCCGCCACATTGCAATGCTTTGTTTAAAAAATAAGCCACTATTCCATATTAGTAGCCTATGCCATAATCCCTGATTTTACCCTATGTACTTGCATATATACCATATTGTAGTCTTTTTCGAACTGCGCGTTGAATTATTTTTCCGGACTAAATAAACGCAATTAAAATTACTCTAGCAATCGCGAATTAAACTGACAAGCAATTTAATAATTTGGTGCTACCATCAAGCATCATATATTATAAAGATGTTAATATGCTAAAATTGTTAATAAATTGATTGCGAAAAATATTACCTCGGGCAGGACTTGAACCCAGTTTGAAAAAGACTACAATATGGTAGCGCACGTAACGTATATTGTATAGTTTCCGCACGGTGAATATCAAAACGCAACCTTATTTAATCTATCTAGTTGCAAAAATGATCCCTTGAAACTAAAATAACTGTAATATATTTTACTTTTGGTTCTCAAACGCACGAGCACGTTCGTGTAAGCTTTCTGACAGTTACTATGCGGCAACGGTGTGAAATAAGATTTCCACTCTTAATTGACGAATGGTGTGGCGGAATTTTCTAATAAATGCGTTAATACCAAGGAACAAGAGGTGGATCTTTTTCCCTGGAGATCTTTACTCCCCGGTTTACCCTATATATGGACATATTTTATATATGTACAATTATATATAATTGTATATAAAATAT